AAAATAAGCATACTAAGGCCCAGCATCTTAGTGAGGAAAGTTGCTAATCTCGAACTTCCACAGTTCCTTGATTGTTGCGAAATGTCACAGGCAACACTTTAATCAGTTCCTAGAGTAGGTAAGACAGTTAAACTTTGGCAATGATTCAAAGAAATGTAATGCTTCAAGATGCAAAAAAAACCTAAAGATGGGAGAAATAAGCTGCAGATATGTTAAGTATTATTGAAGATACGAAGATTAATGAGGTTTCAATGAATCTTTCGAAATAACCTTGATGAGACTTTCATTTCTTATTAAAGTGAGTGAAGAAGAAATTGGAAGGTATCTATTTTATAGGCATATATAGATATAGGATAATTTGGTTAATTATCTCCAATTTTATTCATGATACTTGTGATTGTGTGTGCGTGTGTTTATGTGTTAATGCATATACGAAATAGCGATCTCAAATCAGAGTAATCAACAAAACCGAATGTTATGTTCTGGTAATCAAGGCTTAATGAGACAAGAAAAAGCCCTGACTGAGATTGCGCAAGTCCGTAAGCAACCATGGTTGAGGTAATGAGATGTAAACTTATAAACGTTTAAGTCCGATTACTAGACCACATGTTCTAACCTCGCAGTTTAGGCTCATCAAGGTTTAACAACCCAAAGAATGACAGGACTGAGGCTGCGTTATCTCGAATTTCTGGTTTAGTTGACAGATTGATTAACCCTTTTAAACGAATATTAGTTAGAATAGGATAATTTGAGTCGCCTTCTTTTAGATGGCGACCTCTTTTATCTTCCTTTTAACATCATGGTTTGAGTCCCACTGGGGTATGGGGAAACCAGTTCAGACAAGGTCGAAATTGCAGCCCACTTCTGCCTGGAAAGGAGGTCTATTCAAATGATTGTAGAAAAATTCAACTGCCAGTCACCTTATATAGATGACCTACTAGTAGTCTTTAAAAACCGATTATGAGCGAAAAAATTACGAGATTTACTCAATATATAAAGAACTATGTTGAGTACAACATAATTGATCTGAGCTGAAGTAAAGAAAACGTAATTGTATGCCCTTGCTCGTCTCACCTTCTTTCTTCTTGACTAGATAAACATGTTCTTAAATCTCTTAAAATATACAAAATTATATGTATTTATAAGATTTTCAGTTAAAAACTTGATTATTATATAGCTTAGATTAGATAAAACTTGGCTCATTAGTCACCATTAAATGGTCTTTTAATATTTTATCTCTCTCTGCCTGCAGCAGGTTTATCTATAGGGCATTTTTAAAATAGCCATTGAAATTAAGGTTTGGCACAATCGGATGTCAGTTGTAGTGAATATACCAGGCAAAATTCAATTATGGATTGCCTTATGCTTTGATAACGTATATTAGTCCTCGTATTATATCTTAAAATGGTTTAAATCAAGAAAGCTTTAAAGTCATTTTTTTAGCACATAT